CGGTTTACCGGGCAGTTCTATTTGACGATATATATATCGTCAAATAGAACTGCCCGGTAAACCGTAGGCAGAGAGGGAGAAGAGGACAACAAACGAGGGGCTGTGACAAACTGTTTCGTCGGAGTTTCACCGACTATATATATATATATATATATACCTGGCAGCTCTGTTTGACGATATATATGTATGTATATATATATATATATATATATATATATATATATCAGCCTCCTGATGAGTTTGTGAAACTCCGATGAAACAGTTTGTCACGGCCCCTCGTTTGTTGTCCTCTTCTCCCTCTCTGCCTACGGTTTACCGGGCAGATCCGTTTGACGATATATATACACCTGATGAGCTGGTGAAACTCCAACGAAACAAACAGTTTGTCACAGCCTTTGTTTGTTGTCCTCTTCTCCCTCTCTCCCGACAGTCTACCGGGCAGTTCTGTTTGACAAAAAGGAAGTACTGCACTGGAAACGGCAAAAGAATGGTTTCGGTGTGCCTCGTGGTGTCATCTTTTTTCCGTTTGTTATGCAAAAGTGTCCTCTTTTAGTTTATACATATGTGACAGTATATGTAATATTGTCTGTGCAGGACTCTCACCGATAACATGTTTGTCGGAGTATCGAAAGGCTTTGAAAAGAAGCTGGAGATGAACGGAGTCGGATACAGGGCGGCCGTGAATGGCAATGTCTTGCAGATGAGTCTGGGTTATAGTCATCCGGTACTGATGGATATCCCGCTGGGCTTGAAGGTAAAGGTGGAAGGGAACACGAACATCACTGTTACTGGATATGACAAAGTGGCAGTCGGAGACTTCTGCGCGAACATCCGAAGCAAGAGACCTCCAGAGCCATACAAGGGAAAAGGAATCAAGTACTCAGATGAAATTATTAGAAGGAAGGAGGGAAAGACTGGAAAGAAGAAGTAATGAATGAAAAAGGTTGGTTGGCCAGCCACTGCTGTCTGTGGCTCTGGTTCTTGCTCTGGTTCTTGTTTGCTCTGGTTCGGGAATCATGCCGAGTTGGTGGATGGGAGAGAGAATCATTTAGTTGTATTCATTCGTTCATTTATTCTGTCGGTTCAGGAGAGAGGTAGGCACTTGAAAGGGAGTTCTATCCAGTGAGTGGTTTTTATTTCCACTTGTAAATTTTGAATGACTGCTATTTTTCTAGCAGGAAGAACCCACAGTCTGCTTATCTGCAGCAGCGGATGCGGCCATGGGTCTGTGAGGAGCGTCTTTGCGTATTGATGCATTCTCTTCTATTTCGGAAGAGGAAAGGGAGGCTGCAAGCATTTCCTCTACCTCATGATTTGTGTGCCCAACTGGGCTTTCACTTGATAAAGTCCTGTTCCATGCTGGTTGGCACACTCGTAAATTGTCTTCTTAGCCAGGCTCACTGTGTGCATATACATGTCTGGCTGTGTGTGTGTGTGTGTGTGTGTGTGTGTTTGTGTTTGTGTGTGCGTGAGAGAGAGAGAGAGAGAGAGAGGTATTGGTATCTGTAATTGGCTTTTGTTATTTGAAATTATGCACAGTTTGAGATTTGTGATTTTGTTATTTTGATGCTATTCCTTTTTGCGTATGGACATAAGTTCCCCGTGCCACTTGTCTGTGAATATCTGTAGGCGTGTTATTCCTCGAAAATGGCCGATGCCTTGCATTTGCCATTTTCTGGTCTGGAGGAAAAGTTTTTATCAGATGTGATGTTGCATGGAGTGAAATTTTGTATGCTTGCAGGGCTCCATGGTGATCAACACAGATGTTTAAATCACCACTACCTTCAAGCCTCATTTTCCCGAATTCTTAGTTTTGTCTGTCCCTGCACTACCAACTCCGTGAGGCCTGGGTCTGGCTTGCATTGGGTCCAGAATTGTTTTGGACAGGAGAAACACTTTTGTCTTTTATGGAAAAATTTGCATTATACCCTAGGCTACCAGCCGGGCGGGCCGTGTGACCTTGTTTGCCCAGGTGGCCTGGTCGGCCTGGTCGGCCCGAGGGCCGCTGTAGGTCCCAGCCAAAAAGAAAAAAACGGAAAAATCCGAAAAAAAAACTATTGTTATGCAGAAAAATTAAGTGAACAAGAGGATGCCCGCCGCCACTGCGGCGGGGACCAAGAGGAGGGGGACCCAGAAAAAAAAAAAAAAAACGGACTTCAAA